TTGCTGGGACCAGCAGCTGAGCGTTTTTCTGTGTGAAAGAACTGAGAGCCAGTGGCAGTGGGTGGGGCTGCCTGGGGAATACTGGCTGCTCCAGAAGCCTTGGTGGGACCAGACAGCTGTTGCTGTCAGGTGGCCTTTCATCTAGAATAGCAGCTCAAAACACTGGGAATGTGGGGATGGTCAGCTGTCAGGTGCCTTGGGGGCTGAGCTCGCCCCTGGGGTCAGTCCAGAGGTTGGCAGGGCCAGTCCACGCTGCACCCTTCTGACACCAGCTGCTTTGAGGTGGGAAGAAGCCACACCTCCTCTCCCGTTTCCTGTGTTCTGCTGGACAGGAGGGACCTGGAGTATGTGGCTGGCTCTGCCTCGATTGTAGGGGCTTCATCGGACTGGAAGTCCCCTGGACGACTCAGCTCCTACCCCAGCTGCCCCAGGAAAGGCAGGCTCCACTCTGGCTACAGAGACTGTGATGCACGCCACCTGCTGTTGGTGGTACCCTGGTGTAGGTCCACCACCTGCAAAGCCTGTGCCCTGCCTCTTGAAGCCACATGTGGTTTACACTGGTCCTGGTGCTCGGGGATGCTTGATCTTGAGCGTTTCTCGTACGTATTCGTCTACTGACGGCCACTGGTGCCTGTCTGTGACTCCAGCAGTGGCGTGGACACAGCAGATGGTTCCTTGGCCTGGGTGCCTTGTGAGCTGCTGAGGAATGTGCATGGCTGGGCAGTGGCCTATGGTATAAAGGGCAGGGCTGGCACAGAGGACGCTGGGGCAGCCTGTTGGGCCCAGGCTGGGTGGCGATGGCCTGTTTCCCATGTTCTGTGGGTGTGGGCACCACCTGGCTTTGGGGCTCTGGGCGCCTGCACATGGGTGTAGTTCATGCTGGGCACTGGAGTTCAGGTCTGTGCTTCTGTGCTGTGGGCACTGGTTCAAGGACGTCTGCTGCATGCAGCCTCCTCCAGATGCAGACGTGCGCTGCATCGAAGGGGCAGAGGTGTGCTTGGTACAGGTGCCTGGCAGTGCCAAGGGAGATGCCACCTGTGGACCGCAGAAGCTTGTGGGGTCACCAGTAGGTGCCTGACCTGCATCCCCCTGCTGAGCTGGGCTCTGGCAGAACCTGAGCCTCTGGGGCAGGTTAAGGGGAGGGTCGGCCAGACACTGGGAAGGATGTCCTAGTCACCTCTGCAGTGGGTGTGACCCCCTGAAGAGCCAGTGCTCTTGGGCTTCTATTTCCCAGTCTGCACAAAGGCTCAGATTCTCGCTGCCATTTCCGGCCCCCTGCTCAGAGTACACACCAATGTCACCATGAGAGGCTCCACTGAGCTGGCTGGCTGTTCCTATCAGAACTTGTGACCACAGAAGCCCTGGCTCAGCAGGCAGGAGGGAGAGTCCTGATGAGGTCAGCTTTGTGATTAGGCCAGCTCATTGGATGATAGGTGGATTGACGGTTGATTAGGTCAGATCACTGATTTGAACAGAATTTAGTTTTTATTTTAAAAGTTGAAGATCAAGAGCAAATTACTCTTCTAACTTCAGGGGCTGGGGGTACAGCTCAGTAGGTAGAGTGCTTGCCTCACATGCACAGGCCCTGGGTCCAATCCCCAGCAAGGCCAAAAAAAAAAAAGGGGCTTTTCTATCTTCAAAGAAGGAATTATCTCAATCTTAAAATGCTTATTTTGAGCCAGGCACACTGGTGCACACCTATAAACCAGAAGCCTGAGACAGGGGGATCACAAAGTTGAGGTCAGCTTGGGCAACTTAGTGAGAAGGCCCTGATTCACAATAAAAAAATAAAAAGAGCCGGAGATGTAGTTCAGCAATTGAGCAGGGGTAGGAATCGACAGTGGGTGGAAGGCAGATGATGGTGGGTGAGGTGGGTGAGGTGGATGATGGTGGCCGAGGTGGGTGGGAGGTGGGTGAGGTGGATGATGGTGGCCGAGGTGGGTGGGAGGTGGGTGAGGTGGATGATGGTGGCCGAGGTGGGTGTTGGTGGGTGAGGTGCATGGGAGGGGGGCGATGGTGGGTGGGAGGGGGGTGATGGTGGGTGTTGGTGGGTGAGGCTGTGGGCAATGGCCTCCTGGGCCCTGGGATCACAGGCATGTGCTGCCACGCCCAGCTTCTAGGTCTCCCTTTACAGACGGCAGGTGGGCCCTGCCTGCTAGAAGTCTGCTGTAGGCCTATCCAGTGTCCAGAGGGGTGCTGACTTAAAGGTCCTCTTAGGAAGACACATGGTTGGGGCCCTCCCTTCTCCCTGTGACTTCAGCCCAACCTGGTGACAGCTACAGTCCATTTCACAGGTACCAGGGCCTGGTCAGAGCATCTCTGGGAATGGTCCAGCCTGGCAGGCACCTTTCACATCCGGCTGCTCTTCCCTTGCCCTCGGCTGGCTCTGCGCTGGGTGCCATCCCCTGTGTAGCCATTTCTAGTCCCCAGGTCCTGAGGTCTGTTGTGTGAGCACGAGAGTGACATGAGAGGTACCTTCATTACTGGACCTGTTGCTTTCCTCCATGACCCGGTGTCCCAGACACCTAGAGCATCCCCTCAGTTGCTTAAGGGGAAACAGAGACCATCCCAACATGCATGTTCAGAAAGAGCTGCCTGGTGGCTTCAAAACCCTGAGTGAGCCTTGGCCCCTCCAGACTTGGCCCCCAGCAGCCTCCTCCTGGGCCTCCCTAGCTGGCTCAGGGCCCCTACTGCTGTGAATGCCCCAGTGAGACCACCCGCACATTGTGTCCACGTGTCATGGTGCTGAGGGTCTTTGCGTGGGGCGCCACGGCCTCGTTCCTCCTGTGCTGAACAGCACCCCTGATACGATGATGACACTTGTCCTCCTCTGGTGGCGTGCGCCTGTGGCTCTGCAGTGAGTGGTACCGAGACATGCTGGGCCACGCTGGACACTGACCCTCGGACATTACGAGCATTGCCTCCTTGCCCTCTTCACCTCAAGACAGGACTCACCAAGCAGACGGGCTGGCAGGATTGAGGCTGCTCTCCTGTGCCATGACAGGTCATGCTGAGGTGCTGCCTGGCGCCAGACCCCAGAGGACTGAAGACACCCATGAGGTCTCCACCTGGGGTCTGGTCTCTGAAGGCACTGTGCAAGGACACACTGCAGCAAAGACCGGGAACCCTGGAGGACTGCTAGGCCTGCTCTGAAGGTCACATGCTCTGAAGAAATTAAGAGGAAAAACTAGGCTGTCCTATCTGCCCAGTCCCCTCCTGTGTCCTCGCTTCTCCTCAGGTCCAGTTGGGCCTGGGGCCTCTGCAGGGCTCCAGAGACAGCTCCCTGCTGGGGACTGTCCTTCAAGTGCCTTCGCCCCACCTGTGTCCTGCGTCCCAACATTCAGTCCTTGGGCAGCTTCCCTCGCCCTGGTCGACCTGGTCGCCCTGGTCTCGAGGAACCTTTGCCCCAGGGCCCGAGAAAGTTTTCTGGCTGCTTTCAAGGCGGAGCTTTTCATTTGTGCTTCAGCATCGAGGCCTGGGATCTTTGGTTTCATCCTCTCTGGGGTTCACTGAGTTTTGTGAATTTTGGTGTTTTAAAAACTGTTTTTACTTTGCATGGAGGGTACTGGGATTGAACCCAGAGGTGCTTAAACCACTGAGCAACATCCCCAGCCTTCTCAATTTTGAAATGGTCTCACTAAGTTTCTGAGGCTGACCTTGAACTTGTATCCTCCTGCCTCAGCCTCCTCAGCTACGGGGATGACAGGTACGGCCGCATCCTTCTCCTTTTGCTTGGGATCTATGGCACATGACAGACACCCAGGTCCCTGCAGCATGATCACATGTATTTTTTTTTTCCTTCTTTGTTGTTGCTCGGGATTGAACCCAGGGCCTTGTGCATGTGAGGTCAGCACTCTACCAACTGAGCTTTTCCATCCAATTGTTGTTCTCAAGTTCTGTGGCTTCTGACCCACTTCTAGAGCACTGGCTTAATGGAGTGTGATCAGTTTGTCTATTGTGCTTTTTGGCCTTGCAACGTCTGGGTCGAGCTGCAGCTGTCCTGTTTTCCCTGTGGAACTGAGATTCTGGCTGCATCTGGTACCCTGGAGGCCCTGTGTGCAGCCTGGAGACGTGGCTTTTGGCAGGCAGCTCCACTCTATGGAGTCCTGCTGTAGTTCTTCCTGTGCCCACCTGCCCGGGCCCCTGGGGTGTTTTGCTGTGCTGGCTCCTGGCATCACTCTGACTGGCCTTCACCCTGGCCACCATCAGTCTTCCAGGCCAGAGGCTCAGGTCTTGACCTCTCTGTGTCTTCCCACTCCTGAGACTGGGTCCTGCTTGGGGCCAGAGTAGACAGAAGAGGGAGATGGGGAGCGTGGAGGAACTCAGCTCCTCGGGCCCTGTGCCCCACTTTCCCACTCCTGGTCCCACCCAGTAAAGGGCTGTGCAGGTCACAGTCTGCTGCCTGCCCAGGAGCCCTCCTGTGCCAGCGCTCCACCCCTCCACTGCTACTCATGGCTTTAATGTCTGGCCCAGTCTTCCTGTCTGCTGGGCTCCCCTGCCATCTCCACAGGCCCCGCAGCTGCAGCGGCACTGCCCCAAGGCCTACTCCCGCCTTGTGTACCGGGTCCCTGAACAGCACATCCCCAGAGGCCAGGCAACTGCTGGGAGGACAGCATTCACGGGTCCTAGTGTCTTGAAAGTGGGGGCTGCCCCACAGTAAGCACAGGACCCCTGGGCAGGACGACGGACTGTCCTATTTGCCTGGTGGAACTGTACCAACCTGAACCTTGCACCTTCCAGGAACCCTGTTGCAGGGGAGCCCAGAGTGTGATGTGTGCCCAGGCTCCAGTGAAGGACAGCATGGGGCAAGTGGGCAGCACCAGCACCTTCAGGAAGGCTGACCTGCTCGATGGGCTGCAGACCAGTGCCGGCCTTCCCCAGGCTGAGGCTGCCTGCAGAAGCCACAGCAGCACAGGGCCACCCAGGGCCAGAGGCCTGCCAGCCCTGCCCTGCCAGCCGCACCTCTGGTGCTTCCACAAGAAGACGATGCGCCGTTCAACTAAAATTAATAAAAATATTTTATTGAATTTTAGGAACTTGGTACTTTTTAAAAATTTCAATCTTTGCACACAGATCACCACTCTACTTCCTAGGACAGAAGTCTGGACTTACTTAAGAGACTGTCCCTCTCCTCCGGGGCGCCCAGCACAGCAGGCCCGCGTGGACACTGCTGCCTTCACTGGCTGTGATCCGGGCCGGGCTCGCCTGCGCCGGGCTGGCTCAGGGCAGAGCTGCTGCAGGCTGCAGTCCCTGAGGGAGCTGGAGATTGGCAGAGGCCAGAGACTTCTGCAGAGCGGGACGCTGCGGAGCTGCTGGGCAGCGGGGGGCAGTGGGCGGGAGGCCGAGGGCGGCCGTGCAGGGGCCCTTCCTCAGTCCTGGAGCAGAGGCGGCCCGTCCACCTTCACCACCCGACCGCGGCGACCCTGCGGCCGTCCCGGTGCGAGGTGGGCCTCGGGAGGGGACCGTCGGCCCGCGGGGCGCCGCTGGTTTGGTCTTCGTGTCGATGACGCCGAGTTGCCTGGACACGCCTTCTGCCATTTCATCCCACCAGGAAAATACAGGTTCTTTTCCTCTTTAAAAAAAATTAAATACCAAAATAACTACATTTAAATAAATAATGTTATGGTGATGACGCTGGACATTCCCGGCGGCGGCCTCCTGCTGGCCTCTGCGCCTGCCGGCCGGGCGCCGTCTTCACGGAGGCGGGACAGTGACGCAGGGACAGAGTCGACAGGAGGGACACACGGGGCGGCGCGGGCGCGTCCAGGTCACCGCTCGGCTCGGCGCGGGCGGCCACGGGAGCCGAGGCCGCCAAGTCCGCTGGTCCTCACGGGTGGCTCGCGGCCGCGGCCCGGAGTGTTAAGGCCGCCGGGTCCGGGTCGGCCCGGGCGCGGGCGGCGCCTCCTTTGGCACCGCGGAGTTGCGGGGCGAGGAGGCTCCGCGCTAGTTCTGGACGCCCTTTTCCCTCACGGCTGCTGGTGGCGCATCCACACTCAGGGCGATGACGAAGCTCTCGCCGTCTTCCGTCTTGATCCGCTTCAGCTCCGGCTGCTCGGCCTGGTCACCATTCTGGCGCTTTGTGGGCAGGGACGCCGAGGCCGACGCGTGGGTCGCCAGCATGTGCAGAGGGCTCGCCGAGGCTGAAAGGAGCAGCGCGTCAGAGCCCCGGCTTCGCCCAGGACCCAGCCAGGAGGCCCCGCCCAGGACCCAGCCAGGAGGCCCCGGCCCCACCCAGGAGGTCCCGGCCCCGCCCAGGACCCAGCCAGGAAGCCCAGGCCCCGCCCCCAGCCCCGCCCAGGACCCAGCCAGGAGCCCCCTCCCCAGACACTGCCCCCTATGCCAAGGACATCCAAGGACATCCAAAGCAGGAGAAACACTGCCTCCCACTGGCCTGTGCCTGCCCTGTAGGCCTCCGCTACAGCACCTGCAGGTTTTCTAAGGGGCCCCACCTGTGGGTCAGCACTGTTGTCGGGCTCAGGAACAGTGCTGTTGCTGGGACATTCCACCTAGTCACCAGGGGCAGGGCTGTGCTGTGCCCAGAGGAGCAGCACACGCACACAAGGCCCACCTTCCCATCTGAGTTGGACTAGAGGTCTAACTCACTGCCCCAGGGCAGAAAAGGCACCCAGGACAGTCCCCTAACAGCCTGCACAACAGAGTCCACTGGAGCCGTGACAGCTTCAGGGCAGATGCACACACCTGCTGTGGCACCTCTCGCCACAGGGTTCATCACATCAATTAACTGGTTCTCTAGTTTTGCACCCATCTGTTTGAAGACACCTTGTCCAACGCAGTGGCAAGCCTGGTGTTGACCTGGCCAATAGACTGTGGCTCACACCTGGCCAGAACTCATGCTCTGAGGAACACAATAGCCATCTGCACCTAGGATGATGTGACACCAGCTCAGCAAAACCATCAACCAAAGTACAAAAAGGTAAAGGCATGCTAGCCAGTGATCTACCACATGCAAACGTGCACTCATGGACCCCTAACAACACGACTCCAGCAGTTCTTTGAATACAGATTTTGGAGAGCAAATAAATGCCAGCGTTTAGGTCTATCTTCAAAGATGGGACCAGCACCATGTGCAATCCAGGCAGCCAGGAATAGGACGTCAAGGGGCAGGGCGGGGGTGGCCTGGCCACAGACCTGCCTCTCCCAAAACCTGGTAGAGGTGCCCCTACCTGGGCAGCATCCACAGACACCATGGCTGACTGCCATGCTGGTCATGCAGGGCTCTCCTCCTGGGGCGTGGGCACAAGAGCTGGTGGGTCTCATAATGCAGTTTGGGTGTAGCACCAGCCCCAACCCACCACAAGGGGCAGGGGTGTGGGCAGAGGGAACAGGACCACACCTTCCCCCTGGGGCTGAAATGTAGCATGTAACTCAAGGACAGGATGTTTCACTGTGCCACAATAACTCCAGGACAAGGCTGGAGCCACCTGCAAGATCCCTGGGGCTTGCAGCAGGTTGACAGCCTTCTCCCACCCCTTTCCCCCCAGGCAGAGGCCAAAGGGCCAGGGTCCCAACAGACCTCTCCAGAGAGCTAGAAGGCTCAGGTCTGCACAGGCCTGGGATCTGGGCCTGGGCTGCACTCTCCTCCAGCTCCAGGTGGACAGGCTGTGCGCCTGAACACAGGCCCTGGGCATGCAGGCCTACACGGTGGGCTCCAAACTGCCAGGAGCAGCGCAGTGAGGTGGGTGGGTGGGTGGGAAGGGGGCAACCCTGATCAGGAAGAGCTGCTGGGCAGGACCTCCATGGGGTCCCCCTGCGAAGACTGCTGTCCCACAGGTGGAGGTGTTTGCAAGTGCTGTGGCCTGTGCCAAGCAGAAGAAAGCCAGGTCACATCCACTGAATTTTCAGTATGAATAACGGAAACACTGACTTTATGTAGGGCTGGTGTTGAAAATGAGTGCCTAACAATCTCTAAGTACTGAGGTGACAGAACGAAGCAGAGACCACAGGAGGACAAAATCAAAGTGGTCTCATGGGAGCTCAAACCCCAGAGCATGTGGAGGATCTCAGGTGCTCCTGAGTCACTGGCAGACGTCAAACAGCTGAATAAAAGGTTCTCAGGCTTCAAATGCCAGACTGTCATCAATGGCAAAAACGGGTAGACTCTATGCCTGACCCATGAAGAGGTAAAGTGACCGACTGACAGAAGCCCCTAAGCAGTAAGGCCTGGATCAGGTGGCCAACCCTGGGAGCCTGGCAGTGGCTTGATGCTGCTGCTCTGTTGTTTGGTCTCGGGTAGAACCAGGGCCACGTGTGCTAGCCAGTGATCCACCCTGGCCTGGCCCAGCCCTTTACCAAACATGCAGAACTGACACCGTCCACACACAGGAGGGAAGGGAGCGACTGAGGCAGCGATACCACACAGGCAGAGGACAGCCCAGTGCCCTTCAAGAACACAAGTGGGACACCTCCGCGGCCCCAGCAGGCAGGTCACCAGGGCACACACAGTGGCCAAATGCAATCTACCCAAGAACATGAGGGTGGTTCACACAACTGCTATGTCCATCAGGAGAAAAGCATGTGGCAGGACTCAGCACTCTCTCAGGTGGAGACCCTCATGGACAGGAACAGGAGATGTCCTGGCACAGTGAGATCCACACAGAGAGAGACAGTGGCACAGTGGGGTCCACACAGAGAGAGACGGTGGCACAATGGGGTCCACACAGAGAGAGACGGTGGCACAGTAGGGTCCACACAGAGACAGGGCGGCCCGCATGTTCCCACCCCTGCTCCTGTGGGCTGCATTCCGGCCAGAGCCTGGGGGAGGTGGAGGAAGACCCTGGCAAGGAGCAGGGCAGCAACAGGGAGCTGAGGCAGGAGGTGGCTACAGCCCAGGAGGCCCAGGCCAGCCCAAGGGGGCCCAGGCTCAAAAAAAAAAAAAAAAAAAAAAAAAATCCAAACAAACGGGAGAGGAAGTAAACTGTCTCTTTTGGAAGATGATGCAATCTTATATTTTAGAAAATGTGAATGAACATAAACAAGCCAAAATACAAATACAAACCAAATACTATAGCTTGTAAATGAATTCAGTGAAGTCACAGGGTCCAAGATCACACACAAACGTCAGCTGTTTTTCTATACTACAGCAATGAACAACCGAAAAGGGAGATAAAAAAACACTTCCATAAGGAAAAATGGGAAAAACACAATACTTTGGTGAAATAACCAGAGACAGCCCATGGCTATGCTCAGAGACTCGTTAACACGGCCAGGTAATGACATTCTCAACAAGACTGCATTATCACAACCTTTTCAGAACCCCAAAGTTTCTTTTTTTTTTTTTTTTTTTTTGGAGCTACATCCCCAGGCTCCCACCTTCTAATTATTTTGAAGCCAGGCACAATGGAGCATGCCTATAATCCCAGCAACTTGTGAGGCTGAGGCAGGAAGATCACAAGTTTGAGGCCAGTTTCAGCAACTCAGTGAGACGCTGTCTCAAAATAAAAAAGGCTAAGCATGTAGCTCAGTGGTGGAACAAAAAGCATTCCCGCACTTTTTTTTAAATCTAAATTTTGAAATGAGGCCTAAGATTACTGAGGCTGTCCTTGAACTTGCAACCCTCCTGACTCAGCCTCCGGAGTGGCTGGGATAACAGACATGTAATGCACAAGTGTTGACAATAGAAGGGTACTGGGCCTATCATTGTGCGGCCTGACAGCATTAAAAAAAAAAAAAAAATATATATATATATATATATATATATAAATATATATATTTTTTAGTTTTAGTTGGGCACAATATCTTTATTTTATTTATTTATTTTTTAATGTGATGCTGAGAACTGAACCCAGTGCCCCATGCATGCTAGGCAAACACGCTACCACTAAGCCACATCCCCAGCCCCTGACAGCATTTTTGAAGTGAAATTATGATCCTAAAAGTCACAAGGAATTCCAAGGCACCCAGAATAGCCTATTTGGTCTTGGAAAAAAGAGGGCAAAGGTGGAGGATTCTCACTTCCCAATTTTAAAACTTGCTACAAAGCTACAGTAATTAAAACTGTGGTATCAGCATGAAGATGACATAAAGATCAAGGAAACAGGCAGAACAGAGCATGTGTCTGTGGCTGTTTCCAACATGAGGGAGGGACACAGGCACAGTGGGGCCCTGGCCAGCACACAGGGCAGCCCAGGCCCAAAGGAAGCAGAACACCCACTTCCAGGAGAAGACACGGAGGCACTGGTGACGGGGGAGTGTGGTGGGATTGACCTCAGGGGTGCTCTACCACCAAGTCACATCCCAGTTTGTGCTTTAAAATCTTCGTTTGGAGACAGGCTGCTGCTCCATTGCCCAGGCTGACCTGGAAAGTGAGCTCTTCCTGCCTCAGCCCCCAAGTCACTGGGAAAGGCACCCACCACAGACCTGGCCTGCCCCTCTCCTCCTCCCACCTGCTTCCGCACCTAGCGCTGTACCACCATGCCTGGCTAGGAGAAAGTCTTCATGTCCCCAAATCTGGCAGTGGTTTCATAGATATGACACCAAGCACAAGAAACGAGAGAAAAAATAAGGTAAACCGGACTTCATCAGAATCAAAAGCTGTTAGGAGATATTAGGAAGTGAAAAGCCCACAGAAGGAGAGAAGACTACTTAATTTTGTATCTGACGAGGGTCTATGCAGCTCTCAGAACACATGAAGGGACCCACACACAGCTCAGCAGCAAAACGACAACCCAACTGAAGCATGGGCAGAGGTGCCAACAGAGCACCCATCAGACGCCTGGGAGAGTGCTCAACATGCCCAGCCACGAGAGAAGCAAAAGTCAGAGCCACTGTCTTGGGGCCACTTCACACCAATATGACGTTTAAAAGACAAAACAGGCTGGGCACAGCGGTCACTCCTGCAATCCCAGAGAAGCAGGAGGCCGAGGCAGGAGCACTGCAGTTCCAGGCCAGCCTGGGCGATCAAGACCCTGTCTCAAAATAAAAAGTGCTGGGAATGCAGCCCAGTGATAGTGCCCCTCAGTTCAATCTTCAGCACCCAAAATAACGACAACAATGACGACGACAACAACAACAAGGAGTTAACAGATGCTGCTTTCTTTTCCCAGGAGCGAATTTCAAGGGCAAGAGAGGGACAACTAGGTGTTCCCTGTGCCTTGGCCTTCAACCAGACATTCAGCCGCTGTGTGACATCTGTCACTGCTCCAGCCCCTCTCCTGGTCTGTCTGCCCCAGAGGCCCCCACCTCTGGGGCAAGTGTGTTAGAACAGAGTGCCCACACTGTGTGAACCCGAGCCAGGCTCCCAGAGAGTGCTGCCTCTCCTCCACTCCCGTCCATGGTTCCCCTGATGGAGCACCTCATGCTGTCCTGGCGTGTGCAGCAGCAGCTGACTGTGGGCTTGCAAGTGCAAAGAACTCAGCATTTTCTACCCCCTCCTCTCCAGGATGGACCAGGGCTCTCAGTGTTGACAGCAGGAAGGCACGGGGCTACCCGCTGCCTGCAGAGATTAGGAGCAGCCTGGTCATGCCCCTTACAGTGCTGCTGGCCATGGAGGAAGTGGAAGTGCTTTGCTCAGGGCAGACATTCAAGAGCTCTTCCCCAAGGCTCTGTAAGAGGGCTCTATGCCCTGCTTCACAGATGAGCAGCGGAGGTCAGAGTGGAAGAGAGAAGAGATGTGGACACTGTGTAATTCAGGCAAAGAAAAGTCTGATGTCAAAAGGTAATTATGAGCCAGGTGCACGGGCACAGACCTGTAACCCCAGCGACTGTGGGAGCGGAAGCAGGAGGATCTCAAGTTCAAGGCTAGCCTGCGGAACTTAGCAAGACCCTGGCTAAGAAAAAAAGAGATGGGTGTGTGGCTCAGTATACAGCTCTTGCCTAGCATGTGTCAGCACTGCAAAAAACCAAACGTGATCAAACTGCACAGCTCATTTGTGAACAGATGTTTTCAGGTTCCGAATGACACCACAGATATTCAGAAGTTTTGGTTCCACAAAGTAAAACTATGCTAAGAACAAAAAATGAAACAACATACTTTCCTTAAAAAATAGTTTTTGCCTAAAAAAATGATTTTTGGTTTTGATTAGCTCTGCAGTACTGTTGTCAATCCTTCTATTCCCACTCCATTTTTAGGGTTTAGGTCTACATTTTGTTGCTGAGAGAGAAAAGACAGGCAGAGGCTCTGAGCAGCACAAACTCACAGACAGGAGGGGAAGGAGCAGGACCAGAGGCGGCACACCACAGCCACACCCAGGGTGCTACAGTGGGTGCCGATGAGGATGCAGGACTTCACCTTTAAAACATCAGTATTTAATAGTGGAAAATTAAATTCCTTGCTTAAATTTAAAATGAGAAACATTAGTTACCAACTTAAACGAACTGAGAGACACAGGTGTCAATTGCAGACACAGAAGGCTTTTGGAGCTGTTCCCTGCCACAGGGTGGACTTGGCACCTGGGAAATGCATGTTCCTGGGCACAGTTGTTCTGCCTGGTCAAGCCCTGGGCTGCACAGAGCCCACAGCTGGGAAGGACAACAAAACCCAGGATAGACTGACGCCCCCTTCACTTCATTCCACTTCTGGCTGCCTGCAGAGAGGGCCACCAGGTCTGCTACATCAAGCCACAGTGACCTCAGCTATTCAGAAGGAAGCATGTGGCCAGAGCAGGAGATGCGGGCCAAGGGAGCAGGCAGTGCCCACTGATCTGAGAATGCACAGGCTGTCGATTTCCCCAGAAAAGGCATTATCCACATGTTCTGCAGGCTTGGGAGGGACAGACGGCATTCTGAATCACAGAGAGGCAAGTGCAGGTGCCCTGTTTCTGACCCAGGACTACTGCTTCAGGTGTGGGGTGCTGGCATGTGCTACCACGGCACCATGGTGCCACGTGTGCCCATGCAAGAGAGCAAGTGCTCCCCACTGCTGAAATGCCTTTGGTTTGGTGTGTGGAGTTAGTGATGAAATCCAGGGTCACAGGCATGCTAAGCAAGCACTGTGCCTGCCACTCAGCCACACCCCAAGGACCCTACTTCTGAGTGGCCTCACCATCAAGCCAGGGCTCCTTCCATAACAGCTCCACAGGGCAGGATAGGGCTGGCAGCTTGGTGTTCCTGAGGGTTCTGAGGCCTCTACACCTGTCAGAACACGCTGGAGTGCACCCCATGTGTGGGCCTCCAAAGGGCTTTCAGAGAAAAGAGGTCACAAAGCAGCATTCTCTACTTCCACCATTTTCAAGCAACGCAGTGCATAAGTCGCCACTCAGCAGATGAACCACAGCAAGGCACAAGGATATTCAAGACACTAGTTCCACTACCCAAGTTTCAGGTCACTCCTAGGCAGCACCTAGGAGCTCTTCTGTCTGGAGGGCTGAGCAGCTCTTTTCTCGTCTCAGATGGGCTTTGCAAAGGAGTCCCACAGTAGCCCGGCCCTCACTAGCTCCTGCTTCTCTGTGTGGCTGCGTTTCCAACAGCACAGAAATGCAGCTGCATCCGCAGACAAAACCAGTGCCAAATCAGCACCACGATACAGACTGCCTCCTTCCAGAAGGGCCTGGGCTCCCAGCCTCAGAGCCCAGCAAAGGACACAGCAAATGGCACTTCTTACCATTGTTCACCTGGCCATGCACGGCAGCCGGCATGGGCACCACATGGGTTCCGTTCTGCGTTACAGTTTTTATCGGAAGCTGATGCTGACCAAGAGGGGCTTGCTGCACTATGGTGACTGTCTGGACTGGGGTGGCCTGTGGTGTTTGGATGATCCGGCTGGCAGCACCCAGCGTGGTGTGGCTAATTGCAGGAACGGGCTCCACTTTCACTAAAATAAAAGAAAAAGCAGAAATAACATCCACTAATATTATTGAACTGCTGATAAAAAATCTTACCAGTTTAAATCAAAAAATCAGAAACCTCTTTCAAACCAGGCTGCGCATTGAGCTCCCGTGGACATCGCAGCTGCCTCTCTGGTGCTCACCTTTGACTTCCCTGTGGTCTCCATTCTCCTGTGGTTCTGCCTTAGGAGGGGCCAGCAAGGCCGCCTGAGTGACCACGGCTGGGCCAGCAGCTGTGTATGTGTTTGCTGGGGCTAGCCCAGCCACGCTGGTGACCGACACTGCTGGTATCTGGTGGACTACATGGACTGTCTGCACGACAGGCGGCTGAGAGGTGGAGGTGGTCACCGGAGTTGCAACAGTGTAGGTGACAGGCTTGACTGCAGGGGGCAGCTGCCGCTGGACGGTGATCAAGACAGGCTGGCCGGACAGGGGCGAGCCTGTGGACAGCAGGCAGAGGCAGGGCTGAGGCTAGCAGGTTCTGCTCCGCACACCTTCCCACACTCAGCACTCACACACAGCACAGACTTTACCCTTCAGCACCGGATGTGACCCCGCTCTGCCTTGTAAGAAAGGTGTGGTGTCTTAAGAGGGATATTTAATTCCCACATCCAGTTGCTAAAAATGCAACTGACTCTATTACAACTCCTGATAACAGCTTTCCCCAGGTCTTTCCCCTGAGAACACTGATAAACAGTGAGGGCCAGGCCACAGGTGCCACACTTGCCTAGGTCTACCAGCTCACCTGGCAGGAAGCAGGACACTCTGCAGCTGACTTGGGCTGTCACAGAGCCTCTGCCCCAACCATCTGCCCTTTTTGGTTGTGGGGCTTAGACTAAAGAAACACACAGATGATGGATGCTATAGATGGGTGGGAAGGGAAGAGTGTTCTCCAGGCGAGTGTGGCCGGAACCCCAACTGGGGGAAACGCATGTCTCCCTACCACTGCAGTTTTGATTGGACATTTTCACACTGTTTATATGTTGTTTTTTTTTTTTAAATTCACCAGGGCACACATGACATTGTAAATAAACTGTACAGTGCTCACCTACTAAGTGGGCACGTTTCTGCTTCCAATCAGCCTCTAGTATGTTCAACCTACATGGTGCTTTTGGTGGGGGTGGAATCATTTTATGGAGTTCTGAATGACAAAGCAACTCTCTGAGAAACAGGTAAATTCTAAATTAGTTCATGAACCTACATATAGTACCATTTAAATAACCTCCGCTGGCTTTCTTAAACACTCCCACTGTTATTAGAATTTTCAAAGCCTACAACCTAACACTCAGGTACCTAGCAGTAAGCACAAGGCAGAGTGGCCTCTATGGTGAGTTTGGCAGCATCCTCTCTGCTGGCCTGGGCATCTGACTACCCTTCCCCCCAAGTGCACTCACCTGGTGCGCTCTGGGCAAACCGGGCCTCCTGGATGACGGCGAGTTTGGGCTGTGAGGTGCTGGGCTCAGGCTCCAGGGGGGCTGGCGAACCTTCACGTGACAGGCTCTCAGGGGTCTGGGCACCACTGGAGTGAGCAGATAGCACTCCCGCATGGTTGGGAGAGGCTGGGGCACTCCTGAGTCACCAAAACAAGATAACATCCTTTACAGTGATCCCTCATGGAGAGGGACTGTTGTCTTAATGAGTTCACTTTGCAAAACAGTGTCCTCTGTCTTCTGCCCACTAACTGCAGTTCCATGAGTCTGACCTGGTGAGCTGAGCTGTGTGCTCAGGGAGGCTCGGGCATCTGGGGCACCATCACCCTGGGCAGTCAGACAGTGGGCAAGCTGGGGGCTTTAAGACTTACACTTCATGTGTGTTTTTCTTGGGGGGGGGGCTTAAAAACAAGATTATTAATGAAGCTAAAAATGGGTGGTTTAAAAATCAGGCAAATAAACAATCTTGAGTTTAAGCAGCTAAAGGGTAGTTTTAGAGAACTGTCCACATGCCAAAGGAAAGCAAGGCCTCGCAATCCCGCTGCCTCATTGCTGAGGTACAGGATCCTGAGGAACCGCAGGGCAGAGCATCCAACACTTTTCCAAATCCCCATCCCAGCATTTAATCAAAATGCACCTGGCAGTCCCTTCGTGTTCAGAAGAGGACGTTCCCAGTCCACTGAAGGAGTTTAGGACCACAGGTGAGGTCTGAGGTCCCTTTTCCTTACCTAGACGAGAGCGGTCCCAGAGGGGTTCTAAAGCAAGGCACGCCCCTAGGCCGTCTTTTCCTAAAAGCCTGCTCTATCAGTTTGCTCTCAGAGGCTGGGTCTATCCTCCAGAAGGAGCCTTTGCCTGGTTCTTCCTGGGAACGCGGGACTTTGATGAAATAACGGTTCAGAGAGAGATTGTGGCGAATTGAATTCTATGAAACATAAAAAAATACGTAGAATTCATATAATTCTTTGCTGAGAAACAAAAATGTGCCCTAGTTTTTGGGCCTGCAAAGCAGAAACCTGGGGGAACAGCTCCTGCAGAGCAAGAGTCCTGTGCTGGGGGAGCAGCCCTCCCTGTAAGCACGGCTCAGCGCAGACTGGGCCCTGGGTTCGACCTCTCAGACGGAGTGGGGGGCACAGCTCATGAAGCTCCTGAGCTGCATGCAGGCAGGCAGGCAGGCACTGGGTCAGGGTGAGGCCTGCAACACAGAGAGAAGCCATTCCCCACCTCCAACTCCCAGGGTAGGAAACCGAGGCCCACTGCTGCCACCACCTAGCCTCTCCCAGGCAGAGCCAAGACCTCACTGCTAGTTTTCCCTGTTCAGAGACACAGACCTGAGTCACCCCTTCACAATACCATGTTGCCAGAGTTAGCTTATAGAATCTGCCATGCCATCTGAAGTGCACTGATCTGGTACAGAGTATTCAACAAACTGGCAAAAGCTTGGCACCATTACTGCGGCCACTTTTCTAGTAACAGACACTTGCGTTGTTTGTAAAGTGCGTCCACAAGCACAGTCATGACACAGACGCACAGGAAGAAACCCCCCTCAACGAGTCCATCCTTCTACTTCAGAAGGTCCCAGCTCTAGGCCTACCACAGGAACTCCAAGGGAAGCTCCCCCACTGTGGCCTGACCCAGGAACACCAGAAGCCAAAGGGGACCAAAGTCAAAGATCAATAAACATTCCATGCATTTACACTTTTAAACTTCTACAAATTTTCAAAGTGGTAATAACTCAAAATAAAATTTGGGGCTATTCAAAGATCATTCCTAAATCCCCCCCAATCAATCTTACAGTTAGAACTGCTACCCATGGCCTGAAATTCTGATTTGTCAAAGGCAGCTAGGAAAGCAAACACATATCAAATATTACTGCACAAACAATCTCAGGGACCATTCAAAATTCTAACTGGTCACAGGATGGAATTAAGGCCTCTGGCCCCTGTGGATCTGAGTTTTCTCATGGGCAGCACAAAGGGGCAAGGTTGGCTGTGTTTGGTGTGATTGTGTATAAATACGCATATTTGTTGAGAATTAGTACATTTATTTGGGGGACAGGGTAGTAGGGACTGAACCTAGGGGCACTCAACCACTGAGCAACATCCCCAGCCCTTTTTATTTTTTGAGACAGGGACTTGCTGAGTTGCTGAGGCTGGCTTTGAACTCACGATCCTCCTGCCTCACACTCTGGAACTGCTGGGATCACAGGCGTGGGCCATGGTGCCCCGCTAACTTAGTACATTTTAACAACCAAAGAAAACTTGCAATGGTGTTTGTCACCAGGTGTAGCTGATAACCAATCTTCCTCTCAACTCCTCTGAAAGTCAAACATCTGTTCTCAACATCCAAAGACAGAGAAACCAACATCTGCCCACCATGTCAGCCCTCTTACACCAGCAGGAGACAGACATTCCAAGACTGTGGTCCAAGAGAAGCAACACCAGCAAAAGCCACAGCTAGCCCAGGCTCAGGCACCCCAGTACAAAAATCCAGAACCCAAAACGCTCCAGAACGTGAGACTGTTGAGCATCAACATGACACCCCACGTGCAAGACCCCACTCTGGGCCAGGGGCTGCACCGTGGCCAAACAGGAGCTCCCCAAGTACTACACAGCTTCCCTTTGGGGCTGTGCGCAGGTGTGTAGGGATAGGATGAACTGTGATCTCCTTCCCCCAGGAGATCTTGTGGTGTGTATTCACATGTCCCCAAACTGAGAAAGCCTAAAATATGAAACTCCCTGGCCCCAAGCATTCTGGATGAGACCTGTGCAAAGGAGAAGCCTTACAAGTGCCTTGCAGGTTCACAGCTCCCTCACCCACCAGCACCCACCACCCAGGCAGTGACCCGGGAGGAACACAGAAGCACAACGGGAATGTGGCTTCAGGGTCAGGTTCTTTACGCAGGGGAGCAGGGACAGGACATGGCAGAGGCAAGGCAGCTCTGCTACCACCAACAGCACTTGTGGGGGCACAGCAAGCTCCTGGGGTCAGGAGCTGTGACTTCTCTTCTGACCACTTTAACAGAACCAAACCAACACCACCATAAGAGGTCCTAGCCTCCTCTCTAATGCCCCCTTAGTGACAATCCATAGGCAAAAGATGCCAGTTTATAAAGGGTCACCCGTGATTTCCCAGCCATGGAAGCTCTGGAAAATAGGAGGAAGTAAACAGGAGGACATGATAGACACTGAAGGTAGACACAAACAGAAAAGTGCCCACTCCCAAGGTAACTCAAGGCCTGTGCCACTTGGTTCAACCCAGGATGAGAGTTCTTCCTTTCCACTGCTGTGTGTTCAAGCCCAAATGCTGAACTCTAATGATCTAGAAATCAGTTTTCTGAGAAAAAGTGGCTTGTTATTTTTAAATGCTGAATATGAAGAGAAGACCTGTAACACTGAAAAAGTTCTTGTCCAATGCCGTTCCTGATGGGGCTGCTAGCAAAGACCCACTCCCAAACTCCAGCTCCCAGTCCTCAGCGGGTGGTCCACACTGTGCTACCCTCCCTGGGTATGTCCAGCCTTCCTGACCAGAGCAGCTTGGTCTGCCAGTTCAAGTCCCATGCAGCACGGGGCACCCTGTGAAGGCGTATACAGTGTTCAGAAACCTGCTGTGGTGTGGGAATGTTTCCAGATCAGGGATGAGGTGAGCACACAGCACACCCCCTACCCCATTAGTTCTGATCTCTTCAGAAGGTGAGAGTCCAGTCTCTTCAAACCTTTTTATTTTTTGGTTCAGGGATTGAACTCCGGGGGCACTTGACCACCGAGCCACATCCCCAGCCCTATTTTGTAGTTTATTTAGAGACAGGGTCTCACTGAGTTGCTTAGGGCCTCACTAAATTGCTGAAGCTGGCTTTGAACTCCTGATCCTCCTATTTCAGCCTCCTAAGCCGTTGGGATTACAGGTGTGCGCCACTGACCCAGCTTCTCTTCAAACTTTTTATAATGATAAAATTGTAAGATGTCATTTTCACAGAAAGACCATAATAAATATACCACCTTTCCAGATGGAGCTACTTAGACCATCTTACTTTATCCAGGAATTTCCTCTGCAGATTAACCAAGGCAGATCCATAAAATCCTAAAACTAAGTCTAAGAGGCAGTCATGGACCCCCACTGAGGGCTTGAGATGGACATGGGGAGCATCCAAACACATCCTCTTAGGGACAGGTGCCAGGCATAGCTACCTGGACTAGAGCTCAGAGAAGCACCCCACGGTGGCCTGTTCCCACCACAGAAAGCAGGATACAAGGTGGAAATGTGCATTTTTAAAATGGACTTTAATGCTAACAGTTTTTATTTTTTTTCTCAAAAGGGCACAGTATCACACAACTGTAACCCTGGCCATTCAGCAGACTGGAGCAGGAGAATGGCAAGTCAGAAGCCAGCCTGGGAAACTAGTGAAAATCCTTCTCAGAAAGACAAGGAAAACTAAGCTGGAAAAACAGAAAGGCTTTCTGATTTAAGCCAGGAGGGAAGAAGTGAGAACAGGTCTGACACATACGAGACAGGGAGTTCGACTGTCTGCCATCTCAGGACAAACAGCACACAAGGTCAGACTCCAAAACTCAGGGGTCTACAGCAGGCAGTCCCTCTCCCAGTCATCAGCCTGAGACAGGAGGCAGGACACGGCCTGCACAGCCTCACTCAGGTGAGAGACATAGCCACCCTCTCAGACTGTGGTGTAGGCAGAAAAACAAACAAACAAAATCTCCATAAAAACCTATGCTAACAGCAGTTCAGCAGAGGGGTCATGCTGAGATGCCTGTGGTCCAGGCTGCTGTCCCCAAGAGACTGCTCCCCAAAAGGCCCCTCCTGACTCGAATATGGTGCCATCCTTCCCCCACTGGCAAGAAAAACTTACAATGCTCAGGAGTTCGCAAATCCATGCATGTTAGGAAAACACACAGAAACAGAACCAGACACACGAAAGTCTCCTCAAGCTTTTCAGAAATACTCGTTTCCACAAAGCCCCAAGAACCAGTATTTCAAATCATCAGCATTTTACATGTAAAATTTGCATGTAACCCTGGGCAGGTAGAGTGTTCGCCTCCTCAGTACCACATATAAATAAATAAATAAAATAATGGTATTGTGTCCAACTATTAAAAAAAAAAAAAAAAAAAAAAAAAAAAAAACCTGGGGGCTGGCGTTATGGATCAGCCATAGAACGCTGGGTTCCATCCTCAGCACCACATAAAAATAAACAAAATAAAGGTATTATGTTCAACTACTTCTAAAAAAAAAAATGTTAAAAAAAATAAATCTGCATGTAGCCCTAAGGGCACTTCACATGCCCAGCACTGTGAGTGAGCTGCATTCCATGGGGAGTTTCCCTCCTTGACAAAGCCATGGTCACCAGAACATGCATCTAAATTATTTTGTTCTTTTTATTATGTTTTGTTTTAAATACAAATTTCCTCATGGATTAAAATATGACAAACATGGCTGGAATTTATTATTCAATGTTAAGAGACCCACATGGAGCTATTCTCCAAATCCAATGTTTCCTGTCCATTGAGAAACCCTGTCTTGCATGAAAAGGGAGACTCACTAGGTACCACCCATGACCAAAGACCCTGAGCCCTCTGAAGAAGGAAACATCCAGGATATGGTTTGTAGATTATTATCTTTTAAATTATGACATGTTTACATATCTCCATCCTTCAACTGACAGCAGGAACCCTCTCCCCTACCCACTCACTACACTGGGATTAGGGTTCAACAGCACTTTTGTTAAGAGACATTCACTCAGCAAGCCAAAGCCTCAAAGGAATTCTGTAGCCATTCCTGGTTATTTGATGATTTTAAAAATCACAAGCATACATTTCTTCTCTTTTTTATTTTTATTTTTTTTTCAGCATAGGGGATTGAAACCAGGAGTGCTCGACCACTGAGACACAACTCCATTCCTTTCTAATTTTTGAAACAAGGTTATCACTAAGTTGCTGAGGCTGAACTTGAACTTGCAACTGTCCTGCTTCAGCCTCCCAAGTCACTGGCATCACAGATGTGGCTGCTGTGCTCAGCTACTTTCATCTGTTCTATGTACCAGCCGACTCGAGATATTTTTAGAAAAAAAGATTCTCAGGTTAAACAGTTTGTGCACTTTACAGTTGCTGTATTTCAGCACAAGGAGGGAGGAAAGCAGAAGACTGCCAAAGCAAAGGATGGGCAAGATTTCCAAGCCCTGTTTCAGATATCCAAGGTGAAACGCATAGACCTGAAGGAAACAGGCCTCAGGCCTCCCATCGAGACACAGGAGTTTCCAAGCCAGTAATAGCCGAAGGCCTGACTTCCCAGGACCGCTGTTGCTTCAGCCCTGCACTCTAGACCTGCACCTGCACCAGCCTGGGCACCAGCTAACTCCCACCCCCCATCAACCAGCACCTGCAGACGTGGCACAGACACCTCACTGACAGGCTGAAGTGGTTTACCTGCCAGCCCTTGTCCGCAGTCCTGTAGTATGGATAATTTTTAGTGATGTGTGTATAAATTCCATTTAGGGTGAGTTGTTTATCAGGAGCCATTGTAATCGCTTGTACAATTAATTGTGCATAGGAGTAAGGTGGCTTTGAATCATCCTGTATTAAAAAAAAAACAAAAACAGAGTATTAAAATAAGCATAACTTTTTTTAAACTAAAATTCAGGATTCTCTTTTGTAAGTGTTCCTTTGATAATTTTCAGTTTTTGATATTAAAAAGTAATAAAATTTGAAAAACATGTAGGAAAGAAATACAAAAGTATAGAGTGGTATGAAAAGATTAAAATCTCTCTCTCACAGACACACATTCCCTCTTTCCAAATGGCAAAAACAAAGAAAAACCAGTAAAACAGGGCAAAGCTGCTCAAGCTCAGTGAAATGTGACCTGAACCTTTGACCTGTGGCAAAGAGCAAGCCAGTGGGAGTGGGAGGAGCAAATCTAAGGGGAGCCCCAGGTGCCGATCCCAACAGGAAGTGCCAAGCTCTCAGGGGAGAACTGCCCAACACATGTCAGCCAGTTGCATAGGACGTGAGTATGAAGACTCAGAGGCAGGTTTCCAACTCCAGGTCTGAGGCAGCTCAGGCAGATATTGCATCCATGGTCCTGGGTCTCTCAGGGCCCTGGTGGCCCGTATCACTGTGACAACTCAAAATTCCACTTGCGGCCAGGTGCGGTGGCACACACCTGCAATCCCAGCAGCTCAGGGAGGCTGAAACAGGAGGATCACAAATTCAAAGCAAGCCTCAGCAAAAAGTGAGGCACTAAAACAACTCAGTGAGACCCTGTCTCTAAATAAAATACAACACAGGGCTGAGGATGTGGCTTAGTGGTTGTGTGCCCAAGTTCAAAGCCCAGTACACACCAGCTCAGTGAACAGCAAAGCAGGCAAATAAAAAACCAGTTTGTAGGAGCTGGGGTTGTGGCTCAGTGGTAGAGCTCTTGCCTTGCATGCATGAGGCACTGGGGTCGATTCTCAGCACCACATAAAAATAAATAAATAAAATAAAGATATTGTGTCCATCTATAACTAAATCTATATATATATATGGGCTGGGATTGTGGCTCAGCAGTAGAGTGCTCGCCTAGCATGGGTAGGACCCAGGTTCGATCCTTAGCACCACATAAAAATAAAGGCATTGTGTTGTATCCATCTACACCAAAAAATAAATATTTTTTAAAATATATAACAGTTTGCAAAAGAATACATTCAAGATGACAGTACTCACACTAAGTTTATAGCTGACACTGTTTCAGGATAAACCTAAGCCAGGACTTGGTGTCTCAAAAGGGGCAGGCTGCATTCTGGAGCTGGTAGTGGGCACCAGGGTTCTTGTTGCCCTTCTCCAAACAGAAAAGCCATCTGAAACCCCAGCATCCAAAAGCCCCCATGTCTTACTTGTGCTGGCTAACATCGCCTGAGCCTCCCACGGGAGCACACTGGAGAGGGCCAGGTGCAGTGAGCACCCTCAGCTGAGAAGTGGCTCAGTTGGAGTCCTCGCAGCACTGGGTCACTGCTTATGCTGCTGTGTTTCCTTGACAGCTTCTTAGACACATTTGTCAACATTTTTATTGAAAATGCTGTTCACAACACACACGTTGGCTAAACAGATTTTGTAGGGTGAGCACTAGTTTAGCCACGTGAGGTGGAAAAGCCTGAACTCAGCTGGCTTCCTTGGCACCCCACTTCTGCTGTGGCTGGCGGAGTTCCGAACCAGAGAAGGCTGTCGTGTGCACTTTGTACACAGCTGTGGTTCACTCATGCCCAGGGCTGTGCCACGTCCCTCCACACAAACACAGCACATGGTACGGATCCATACGTGAAGCATCACCATGCAGTCTGTACTGTATTCTTCACCTACTCTATATCAAAAGCAAGTCCCCATTGATAAATATTTCACATGCCTCTGACTGGGCCACCAGATCTTAGTCACTGTTCCCCTAGGGCACTCATCGTGGTTTCAAGTTTCTGTTTTATACCAACTTCTGTCTCTTTCCTTTAGACAAATCTTTGAAGGATAAAAACACGCAGGGTCAGAGTGTGGTCATCAACTGCGTTGTCTACATAGGGACAGATGCACCCTCCCAGGCTGTCTGTGAGCCTGCCTCAGCTAAAATGCCACCCGCCTCTTAAAGCACTGCACTATGAGCTGTGAGCACCAGGACCTCAGATGCCAAGGACAGAGCCTCAGCCAACACTGAGAATTGCTCACAGAATCAGCCTGCATCACTGCACCATGAGCCACGCTCAGGACAGTGGTACACAATACCCCCCCCCCCCCCCCCCGGGCCCAGCTGCAAGATGGACTACAAGACACTTACCTTTGGACTGTCTCCACCTGAGGCTTCCTTTTCATTTTCTGGCTGTGAGTTGTCAGCCATTAAGTTGAGGTCAGATGGTATCACACGGCCCATTTTGTACCCTGAAGACCCGGCTCCCCGGGGACTAGATGGGCAGGAGTTTGCAGCACTGTGGAAGAGAAAAGGTTCCTTTAGCCTACGAAAGAGTACATATGTTATGCTTCAATAAGTGGCTCTAAGCTGGGCAGAGTGGTGCACGCCTACAATCCCAGTGGCTTGGGAGGCTGACACTAAGCAACTCATTGAGACCCTGTCTGTAAATAAAATACAAAATAGGTCTGGGGATGTGGCTCAGTGGTTGAGTGCCCTTGATTTGAATCCCCAGGACCCAATAAATAAATAAATAAATAGCTGGCTCTGAGGTCAGGGAAATAAAAACACAAAAACTTTTGAGAACTGAGAGAAACATCTGTATCAGAATCAATAATTCTTTGTGCAACTCAGATCACTCAAGAAGCAACATGGATATTCTGTGTTGTCATCCTGTGAAGCTCTAAGACAAATTCTCTGGGGGCAGTGGCCCAATCTTCACCAGTGAAGAAACTGAGGCTCTTCCAGAACTTACCAAGAACCCAAATGACACATGGTGGGTCTAGGGACACAGAGTACATGGTGAATTGAAGTAGGGTACAACAGGTAACACTGGAAGGGCAGGGCCACAGCCCAGCTAGTTCAGAATATGGGCTGACCAGCAAGAGCACATGGCACTTTCCCCACAAGGTGGGTGGTGGGACCCAAGCCTGGGCTCCATGCTGACCACAGGCTGTGTGCGCTGGGAGAGTCGAGAAGCAGCAGTGCCTTTGGGCCATGCTCATTCTGCAGTTACCACTTACATTATGTGAAAAGAATGAGCTGCTGAGATGGCATGATGCCAAGATGGCTCTCCCCAAAACCCTTCGGTTACAGAGGTGTTTGGGGAAAAAGACAAACATTGCAACCATTTAGATTTCTGGGAAAAAATTAACCAAGAAACCTAATACTCACTTTGAGAAACACTGGAAAAGAAGATCCAGGAGGCAGAAACAAGGGAGAAGGAACAGGGAGGGTCTTGTTGCCACACTTTGGTGGCACTTCAAAGTTCTGTGGGTGCCCAGCACATGTGCCTACCCATTAAACATTCTTTACTGAATGTCAGGACTACCCTGTCAGGAAGTCTGGCAAGGAAGCAGGAAGAGGAAGGCTGTTCCCCTGGTACGTACACTACAGTCTGAAGACCAGGCCCCTCTAGGAGTGCAGGTGCAGGAGCTGAAGAGCCACCATGGGCTTAGCTGAGGAAGCACAAATGTGCAGGATGTGCCGGGACAAAGAAGGGACACAACGATGATGGGAGGGACTGAGGGAGCCGAGTCAGGACTGACTTCAAATCCAAGGCTGGCATCCAGCTCGCCATAACCTGCGGCCTGTGGCCTTCAGAACCACCGTTCCCACCACACTGCTCACTGAGTGCTCAGCAGCAGGCTCGCTGGCTTCAGTCTACCTGCCACACAGTTCCAATTAGTTCATTTGGTCATGAACAGGTCCCACAAGGTGGAAAGAGAAGGCAGTGCCTTCAGGCCACAGTGCTGCCCCTGGACAGTGGCCTGGGCATAAGGGTGTGGCCGCAGCTGTGACTTGCACATCTGCTGCTGAGTGGTACTGAGCGTCTTCCAGTGCACTCACTGGCATCAGTGTGTCTTCTTGAGAAATCCTTTGGTCAACTTTTCAACAGGGTTCTTTATATTATTATGGATATTAACCTCTTATCAGATATAATTTGCATGTATTTCTCCCATTCTGTAGATCGCCTTTTCTGTTCCCTTCTTTCCTTCCCCTCCTGGGGACTGAACCTAGAAGTACTTTTAATTTTATTTTGAGACAGGGTCTCTCTAAGCTGCTGAAGCTGGCCTTGAACTTTGATCTTCCTGCCTCAGCCTCTTGAGCTGTCTGGCTTCCACTCCACTTGAGAACCAGCAGAATGTAGCAGGCTGGCCCAGTCTCACCCACACGATGCGCTACAACCTAACATGCTCCAAGAGCAGCACAAAGATAGTCCTCAGTCTCCTCTGCACGCTCTGCATGAAGCTAACAGCAGTGCACTAGTCACAGGTTCTGCCTGTGAAAGCCAGCATGGCCGTGCTTAGAGCGCTCTGCAGCTGAGGGGGCCCAGTCTCTCAGAACTTCACAATGAACACCTGGTTACCTCAACATGGCCAAATCAAAGTATAAGCTTTCAGAATATATGAAACAGTAACAAACTAGGAAACTAAACATTCAGATTAAACTCTGACTTTACACCAATACCACAAATCATAAATTTAGACTCCATTAAAAAGAATCCATAAGGGCTAGGGCTGGGGCTTAGCGTTAGTGCACTTGCCTAGCATGTATGAGGCACTGGGTTCAATTCTCAGCACCACATAAATAAAAAAATAAAGATACTGCATCCATCTACAACTAAAAATTAAAAAAAAAAATTAATTAAAAAAAGTTCTATCAACAACTAAAAAATTAAAAAAAAAAAAAGAATCCATAAGTAAAAATAAGGGACATGTGGGAATTGCATATTTATAATGCAGAAAGTGAAAGCACTGTCCTAAAACTCAACTATTTTAAAAACCCTCAGAATATCCTTCTCTGCTTAAGTCACCTGCAGGGAAGGGAGATGTCATGCTGGGACCCACAAGCACCCACCCACCAGTCCCTGCCCTACCTGATGGTGCCCGTGGGGGAAGGGAGGGGGCTGATGAGGTGGGCCATGGTGTCTGGAATGTTGATGGTCAGGGGCGAGATATGTGGCTGCACAGGCTTCACCGGGGACTCGGGAGCCTCCTGCTTCTCCCTTTTTTCGCTGGACAGGGCTGTGAACGTTATCTTGATGTTTGTGCTCGGAAACCTGAATGTGCACCTGGAAAAGAAAGGTCAATGGTCAGTGTCTGTCTGCTACCCACCCGAGTCCATGAGCATCCCCAAAACACTGCATAAAAGTACAAGGATACACACACCTCCCCACTTTGAAGCTCACCATGTTTACGCATCTCTTAAGCAAGTGAGGTATTTTTTGAGATACCAGTGGTATCAGCCAAATGGGACAATTAAAAGTATAGACCCCCCCCCCAAAAAAAAGTGTAGGCCTGAAAAACTTAGTATGCACTGCTCTTTAAAAATAAGTGTGCAGCCAGATGTGGTAGTGCATGCTTGTAATCCCAGCTGCTTGAGAGGCTGAGGCAAGAGGATTGAGAGTTCAAAGCCAGCCTCAGCAATTTACTGAGGCATTAAGCAACTCAGCGAGACCCTGTCTCTAAATAGAATATAAAAAAGCGCTGGAGATGTGGCTTGGTGGTTGAGTGCCCCTGGGTTCAATTCCTAATATCAAAAACAAAAACAAAACACAAAAAAAAAGTGTGCAGGGCTGGGTTACAGCTCAGGGGTAGAGGACTTGCCTAGCACATTTGAGGGACTGGATTCAATCCTCAGGGCCACATAAAAATAAATAAATAAAATAAAGGTATTGGGTCCATCTACAACTAAAAATATTTTTAAAGAGTATGCAAGGGCTGGGGATGTGGCTCAAGCGGTAGCGCACTCACCTGTCATGCATGCGGTGCTGGGTTCAATCATCAGCACCACATACAAATAAAGATGTTATGTCCCCCCAAAACTAAAAAATTAATATTAAAAAATTCTCTCTTTAAAAAAAAAGAGTATGCAAATATGTTTTAGATCTTATAGCAGATTTAAAATAAAAACTTGGATCTGAGGAAACAACTCAATGGTAGAACATTTACCTAGCATGAATAAGGTCCTGGGTTCTATCCAAGCACTATAAGTAACAATAACAAAACAGCAAAGAATAAATAAATGAATGAATGAATAAATGAACAAATAAATTAATTAACCAGTGGATATAACAAAAAAACTAAAAGAAGCATACAAGTACATATAAGTATATCTGGGTCACTAAGTCATCAATAATTGTGTGATGATTTTATTTAAGAAAGAAAAACCAGCCAAGCATGGTATGGTACATGCCTATAATCCCAGTGGCTCACAAGGCTTAGGCAGGAGGATCACAAGTTCAAGGCTAGCCTCAGCAATGTAGCAAGACCTTAAGCAACTTAATGAGACCCTGTCTCAAAAAAAAAAAAAAAAAGGGCTGGGGATGTGGCTCAGTGGTTACACATTCTAGGGTTCAACCCCTAATTTACAGACACCCCCCATGCTCCAGCCCAGCCAAAGAAAGACAAACCAACCAGCTGTGGTAGCCACACCTGTAATCCCAGATGCTCAGAAGGCTGAGGGAAGGGAATGCAAGTTCAGGGCCAGCCTGGGAAACTTAGCAAGACCCTACCACAGAACAAAAATGTATAAAGGGCTGAGAGCGGTAAAGTGCTTGCCTAGCATTTGCCATGCCCTAGGTGCCATCCTCTGGTACCACCAAAAAGAAAGAAAAAAAAATCCTATTATTTTTTTACTGAATAAACAAGAACTAGAGATCTTGAATCGCAGGACAGGCTTGCAACTGAGCCCTCTGCTCCACTCCAATTCAGTTTCCTACCTGTGACAAGTGGTGCAAGCCAGATCCTTCCCAAGAATAAGATTAAAAACAGTCATACAGACTCTCACAGCCCTTGAGTCTCAGCTCTGAGCCAGTTACACAGCACCCTACTGTACGTCTACAAATGTGGAGCTTGGCTCAGCTTCTCTGAGTATCCACCCCAGTGTGGAGCCCAGCTTTGCCTATCACTAGTCCTACTGGGTGACTGACCAGAAAGGTCCAGCACCAGAGGTCACAGGTCCCTTCTACTCCCAATGACATCTTCAAGGTGACATCTCTGGGTAAGAAGGACAGTACTCACTTTTCTCCCACCAGGATTCAAAGGTGCCCTCCAGGCTCATGGTGAGGTATAACTTCCATGGAGCTCTACTAAAAGGTGATCAGGACATGAGCTCTGCCCTTCAGACGACTTAATGCTGTCACCACGGGAAGGAGGGGTCTGGCCAGATTTCTGTCTTGTCTCCAATGTACTCCAGAGTCCCTACTGCTACGTCATGACAACAGAAAGGCGCTCACCCGATGCCAGCATGCACTACTGTACTCTCCCCCTGCAGAATCAGCCAAATCCATTTCTGTTCCTTAAAAATTACACAATTTTGTATTCTGCTGTGGTAACATAAGAGACTGGGTGACCCTCCCTCCTCTCAACTGATCGCCAAGGGGTCTTTTCCCTTTCTTTCCCTTGGGAGGTGCACCAGGACAGAGCAGAACCTGACAAAGTAGCAACCCCTTCTTGGGGTCCAGGACACCACACTGTCAGATTCCTGCCTTCTAAGGGCTTCTCACTTCTTACTGGACCTTCCTTTTTCATAGACCCCCAAAGACTAATGCCCAGGCTTACACTGGATTCCACATTCTCTGTGTTCACTTCTAGGGAGCTCATCCAAGGCCTCAGATCTTGAGCTCCATCCACACACAACCAAATGTCTCCGAGCCCCCTTTCCAGCCTCCACATCTCCTCCACCGTCCCAAAGCCTCCACCTACACCAACACTGGGACTGAAACAGGGCTCCCTCAGCCATGAATATCACCCTCAGGCCACAGAGCAGAAGCCAGCACGACCCACCAACTAATGCTGTCGGCTCCCACTATAAAACACACCCACCATCTAGGGTGCAATTACACGCAGCTGCTCTGCCAAAGCCCCTGTTAAAACAGAAGAACATGCTCCCTCCTGCCTTCCAGAAGATGCTCCCAAATCACAGTTCAACAAGGACTCCTGTCCAGATGATATAAAAAGCTCTCTGAAGTTGACAAAAGGAAACAAAACCCCAGCTACAACAGAAGCAAAAGACTTCACCAGACACATAAGCTAAGATAACATAAAAGTGGAAATGAACAGAAAAGGATGTTCAACATCACCAGCCACTGGAGCCAATGCAAACCACGATCCCAGAGCAGCCAGGTTTGGTGGCCACACCTGTGATCTCCGAGACTAGGGAGGCTGAGCCAGTGGGATCACAAATTCAAAGACAACCCAGGAAACTTGGTGAGACCCTATCTTAAAATTTAAAAAAAAACAAAAAAACAAAAAGGGCAGCTAGGAACAGTGACATATACCTATAATCCCAGTGGCTCAGGAGGCTGAGACAGGAAGATCACAAGTTCAAAGCCAGCCTCAGCAAAAGTGAGGCTCTAAGCAACTCAGTGAGACCCTGTCTTTAAATAAAGTACAAAATAAGGCTGGGGAAGTGGCTCAGTAAGTGAGTGCCCCTGAGTTCAATCCTCAATCCCCACCCCCCAAAAAAGCACAGTAGTAGAGCAATCCTGGGTTCAATCCTCAATACCACATACAATAATAATATCAACAACAATGATAAGGTAATAAACTCAAGACACCACCATACACCTGTGAGAACAGGTAAAGCTAAGAAGTCTGACAGCACGCTCATGGATGAAGATGTAGAGAAATACCTCTCCTATGTTGCTGGAGGCACATAAAATGGTACAGCCACTCTGAAAGTGAGTTTAAACATACAGGTATAATAAAACCAGGCAACTGTGCTCCTGGGCATCTATCCTGTACAGATAACATGTTCACCCAGAAACCTACAAACACACACGCATGGCATGTTTGTTTGTAATAACCAAAACATGAAAACCACCCAAATGTCCTTCAATAGGAGAGGAGCTCAGTGCAATTCACGTGGATCTTGAGGGCATTTACTCAGTGGAAATAGCCAATTTCCATGTCTCACATGACATACTCAATACGATAAAATCACAGACACAAGCACAAAAGCACAGGCAGCAGAGGGTAGGGCATGTGACTCAGAGGGGCAGCACGAGGAAGGCCACTGTGTGGCAGAGCCTACTGTACTGGGATCGGAGAAACAGCTCATATACCTGCATGTGGGACATGTGACAGGATGACAGACAGAATGGGAGACATATCAAAAAAGAACTCATGCAGCCAGGCTCACATCTTAATCCTAGTGGCTCGGGAGGCTGAGGTAGGAGGATCCCAACTTAAGAAGGCCCTGTGCAGGGCTGGGGTTGTGATTCAGCAGTAGAGTACGCGCCTAGCATGAGTGAGGCACTGGTTTCAATCCTCAGCACCACATAAAATACAATAAAGATTTTGGGGGCTGGGGATTTAGATCAGTTGGTAGAGTGCTTGCCTCGCAAGGCATAAGGTCCTGGGTTCAATCCCCAGCACTACCAAAAAAAAGAAAGAAAGCCCTAAGCAACTCAGTGAGACCATGTCTCTAAAGAAAATACAAAGGCCCTGATTCCTTCCTTAGTTCCATGGGTGTGGGACAAACAAAAAAAAAGCGGGGGTGGGGCAGCCTGTGTTCACCTAAACTCACCAGCTGCCACACCTCCACCCAGATCACCTGCAAGGAGATTCTCAGGAGGTGAGTTCACCCCCAGTGATGCTGCATAAGGCCAGGCAGGGATGCTGCTGACACCCACAGTGCAGCCATGGGACAGGTCCCACCAGAGAGAGTGATCTGTCTAACATCCCAGGGCCTGGGCATCCCCAACCAGCGCCTGCCCTGTGCTCAGGCCTTGAGGTCTCTGTGCACCCAGTAATCAGTGTCTCAACCAGTAATGTAAGTACACATGGTAAGGATTCACAGACACAGAGGGCCCAGAGAGAAACCAGCCTCTTCTACCAACCTCAGCAGTACTCCCCCCAAGTCCCCAGGGGATACTACTACTCTGGGTCAGCCCTTGTGACTCACCTCTACTCCCCTTGCTCCTCAACTCCTTGACAGCCCAGCACATTCCCTGGCCCTGTCAGCCCTGTTTCTATGGGTGGATAGATAAGTGGGCTGTCCCCCAACAGGATGTAAGCTCCATTAGGGCAAAGTCCTGGCCTAGAAAACTCAATGCCACATATAAAG